GCAACCTTCCGGAATTCTGCAAATTTGATGCCAACAGCACAGTGTGTGAGGACCAGGCCGAGACAAGGCTGGTGTGATGGGGGAGAAGCCAAGACCTGCAAAGGACACCGTACATCTGTCCTGGAGGCCACCATCCTCCCCGTCACCTCACTCAGCGCAGCTCTGAGGAGACACCTAAAGCACATGAGCAGTGGTGATGCTCCACCCTCTCCTCAGCCCTTGTCTGAGCCAGCTGTCCGACTTACCTTTCCTCACACTGTGAAAATCGGGTAGGGGAAGTGGGAACCGCTATGGAGTGCAGAGGCTGGGAGGAAGGTGGCAGTCAGGGCCACTTGCTTCTCACTAGGGACCCATTTCCCCAAGAAGGTGATGGGGGACACAGCTGCCTAGAGAGTCAAAGGCAGGTGTCTCCCCACCCCAAGGATCGCAACTGGAGAGACCAGATTCCCCGCTCTGCACCAAGTCATGGCTCATCACTCAACCTATCACCGAGGTCAGCTAACCTCTCTAGCGTGTGGCAGGAGGGAGGGAAGAAGGATGGAAGGGTGGGAGGGAGAGAGGGAGAAAGAAAAAGAAAAGAGATGTATATCAGAAGGGATGATTTTAACGTATCTCCTTCTCTAGTAATTCTGACAATCGTAACTGGCTAAGCCAGTAAGAAAGAAAAGCCCCGTCTCAAAGTCTGTATGAAATCTAGGGTCAGAATTCTTTCTACAAGTCATTCTTTGGATCTCTGCCATTTGGAGAACGTGAAAGACATACAGATCCTTTGGGTTTGAAATTGTTTAGTTACCATAAAAATATATGTTTCAGATGAAGCAATTAGCAGGAAACTAGAAGTTAATGGGAGAAACAACTTGGCTGAAGGTGAGTGGGAAAGTGAGAGACATCTGGGTAGAATGGGGTGTTTGTTGAGTCAACCCAAAACCTGTGCTTCTGATTTTTTTTTTTTTTTTTTTTTGGTGAGGGCAGGAGGGTTCCTATACAGACCCAGGGTATAAGGATTTAAAATGCAAAAAAAAAAAAAAAATTTTTTTTAAGTAGGCTCCATGCCCAGCGTGAAGCCCAACATGGGGCTTGAATTCAGGACCCTGAGATCAGGACCTGAGCTTGAGACCAAGAGACAGATGTTTAACCTACTGAGCCACACAGGCCCCCCAAAATGATTACTTCTTAAATGAGTACGAATTAAGGAAGAAAAGGCACAACTAAGGAAGAAAAATAAATATGCACACATTTTGTGTTACTTATTCCAAGGAAAGAGTTATTATTTTCAGAGAAAAGGCCCAATAAAGGAATAAGTGACAACCTATAAGACCAAGAAGGACAGATTCATGGAGGCCTCAAGGTCTCTTTAAGTGAAGGAGTCTGAGTGTCTTCTATAGCATAGTAAAGCAGGATATTTTAGCTTTAGTGTTATGTGCATCCTTTCCCTGACATGTGTCCTTCTGCTTGTTTCGGATGTTGAGATGACTGAAGAACTTTCCCTGGTCTCTGGCAAGCTCAGTTTGGAAACTGACTAGCCCCTCCCTCATGTTCTAATGTTGCCACAACAGGTGTGACTCGACCCACCGGCTTGAGAAAGGGAAGGCCCCTGGGGGTGAGGTCGTCCATTCTCATTACTGAGGAGGGTAAGGGATGAGCTCAAGGTTATGCTGTGAAAAGTAGAGCCAGCTCTAAGACCCAGATAAAAACTGCTAGTCCTAGTCAGTCACTCTTTGAACTCGTGATTCAACCAGCCTGGCATAAAATGAACACACATTTTGTAGATGATTTACATCAATGACAAAGACTAGACACATCCAGAGCAGTGAATTGTGACCCAAGAGTGCAGCTACCGTAACTGTAATTGTCTAAAAATGTTCAGGAAGGCAGGGAAGGCAAGGTCCTAACACTGTGCAGTGCAAGTTAATCACACGATGCTTAAGTGTGTTATACTTCTTAATTGAATTTTATTGCCTTTTTGTTCAAATTATGGTTCTTTCGCTTTTATGAAACGATGAATAAAAGAGTGTTTCTTTCTTATCCATTTTAATCAAGGGCAGAAAATAAATGTTCCAGACTTCTAGAGACATTTTTAAAATGTAAATTCTATAAATCTCCAAAAAGGGTTTGCATCAAGAGGAGCTATGTGATTTGTAGCTGTTTCGTGACTGTCAAATCGTTTAGAACTAGCCCGAGGTTGGGTCCATAGACCATGAATAACAGGACAGCTTTGTAAGAAACAATCACATTAGTCCAGTTAAGGATAAATGATGTCTGACCAAGGGTTTGGTATTACGGATGACCCTTTCCTTTGACATTGAAAACTACATTTAATCTAAACCTCTATTATAAAATTATGCACTGTCGATTCTGTCTTAAAAGGGGTGCAAGCTGCATCAGTGTTCCTGGGTTGAAGAGTAGTTTAAATAAGCCCTTGGGTTTATGTTGCATTCAAGAAGGCTTTACAAGATCTAATCTTTTCTAACCTGTTATGCTCTTTGGTTCAGCAGAGCTTCCTAATTGTAGCTATTAGTCCCCCTTTTTTGTGGTCTGTTCTGTCAATAGACTATTGAGTGATCAGTAAATTAAGCCCAACCAGCAGCCAACACATGGAAGCAGACGTTAAATCATAGCTTGGCTGCCCTTATTCATTATCAGTATCTGTGAAATAGCTGTTAAACACAGGGCTAGGATTTAACATGACGCACATTTGTGTCATTCTCAAATTTCCATACTGTACAATCAGGTATGTGAGGATTTTTTTTTTTTTTTTCCAGGCAACAGGTGTGTTCTTGGAACAAAATTCAACCCCCACTTCCGGCTTATGTGGGAGGCAGCAGCTGCAAGCTTAATGTCAATGACACATGGTTCTATAAGAGAGAAAAAATAAACCACTTGCTCAATGTATTAAAATCATGGGCAGATGGACAATAGCTGCCGGTCTGTACTCCCTTTGTGTTGTAGAATCAGAGTCTAAACTTGTGGATGACAAGCTTGCTTGCTTGCTTGCTTGCTTGCTTCCTTCCTTCCTTTTCTCTCTCTCTTTCTTTTTTCTTCCCTTCTTTCTCTCCTTACCTTCCTTCTTTCACTTTTTAAAAACCCACTAGTGAAAAATATAAATTTCTTTAAGCATTTTGCATCTGTTATTGAGCACAGTCCTTCAACTGAGTCATACTATTTTCAGGCTGATGAGTGGAGAAAAGAAAAAACAATATAAATGAAGCTACACTTTATTTATAACTTGCTTTGTTCTGAAAAGAATTGAAAGGAACTGTTTACTATGGAATTTGAAGAGACTTACTTAGTATGCAAACTCTACATGTTTTTTTAATGCAAAATTAAGTATATCTATTTATAGGTCTCTTTATACTCTAGTAAAACACTTCTCTACATAGTTCGGTGAGATAGTACTAATGAGAGTTATAACGTGCTCTGTACCTCAGAAACACAATGTCAATGTTAACAAATAGTAACAATAATGAGGGGTGCCTGGGTGGTGCAGTTGGTTAAGTGGCTGACTCTTGATTTTGGCTCAGGTCATGATCTCAGGGTTGTGGGATCGAGCCCCATGTCGGGCTCTATGCTCAGTGCAGAGTCAACTTCGGATTCTCCCTCCCCCTCTGCCTCTGCCCCTCTTGCTCCCAGTTTCTCCCAGTTTCAAACAAACAAACAAACAAACAAATAAGTAAGATCTTAAAAAATAGTAACAAACAAACAAGATCTTAAAAAAATAGTGACAATAGTGATCCAATTGTAATAGTGTTCAAGACGGTAAATGTTTGTCAATCACTCAATTATCTCTTTTAGTGTATCAGCAGCCAATAGTCCATTCTATGTGTTGGTTTTCAGGTACCGTCATGCCTCAGAACAGAAGCTCAGCCACTATCTTTACTGCGTACAAGGTTTCTTATGAACAAACACATTAAAGCTCAAGGGCAGATCAGAGCAATTAGTGAGCTCTATGACACATTTCAAGTGAACCCGTCTTATTACACAGACTTTTCCAGAACTTATGTACATCAGAGCTTCCCCTCTTTTGCCAATGGGCACTTCAATAGGTATATTTAATAAAAATGGAGGTCATGAGGAGAATCTTCATTTTTCTCAGATGTGATGAACAAATGTATTGCAAATGTGATTAGATAAGCACCTATTAATTACAATCCTGGAAACTCTGGTATAATCCGCGTCACCAGATTGCATGGAAGACTGGTGTTGGGTGTTGTATGTAATGTCTAATTGGGGGACAAGTAAGAGAGAGTCCCTTTTTATGTTTTTTTTTTCCTTTTACCGCAAACCACAGCCTTATTCAAGAATCAGATTTTCTGTGAATCTACACTGAAAATGGTTTTGCCATTGCTGAGAAATCCATAAGCAGATGGATGTGGAATTTAATCCTCTGTGAGAAACAAAGGCAAATATAAAAGAAGAACCTGGTGATAAATTTCTTTTAGGTTTCTAACTGGTTTGGTTATAATATTGGATTTTCACTAAATGCATGCAAATAATGATTACTCTCAAGGATGATGCTAAACATTTTTAAATGTTAAAAAAAAAATGTCTAAAACTGGGGGGATGGCCTAGATATCATTAAAGGTCTTTTCCAATCCAAAGATTTTCAAATTCTTTGGTTTTGCTTTTCCTCGGGCTGCACTTTTTCATTGTGGTAAAACATACATAATACAAAATTTTCCATCTTAACCATTTTTAAGCATACAGTTCAGTAACATTAAGTATATTCATGTTGTTATGCAACAGATCTCCAGAACTTTTTCTGGACTTTAGTTTTCATTGTTAAACTAAAACTCTGGTACCCATTAAACAAGTTCCCATTTCTCCCTTCCCCCAGCCCCAAGGAGCCACCATTCTCTACTTTCTGCACCTCAGCCATTTTACATTCCCACCAGCAGTGCACAAGGGTCCCCATCTCCCCATATCCTCGCCCGCCTCTGTCATTTTGGTTTTTTTAATAGTAGTCATCTTCTCCACAGAGAACAAGAGAAGGAAGTACTCACGTGAGTCTCCACATCACCAGCAAGGATCCTGCTCTTCTTTAAAAACTCAGCCACAATGCTGTTCATCAGCTTATCAAAGGCTTCCACCGAGGGTGCCACACCTTTAGAAGAAGCACATATTGTCAGTTCCCGAGAGTTTAATGAAAAGCTGGTATTGCTTTGCTGTAGGAACTATGGAAGCTTAATATCACTCATGCTGTTCTCATTCTTTTCACCAGGGCATTCATGCACTCAGTCAGTATTTATGAAACACTTCTCAACGGCTCAAGAAAACAATGCTTTGCTCTTTTTCATCCACTTGAGTAAACACTTTCACCTACATATTAATTTCTGCCCCAAACTCATGAGGGAAGTAGCATCACAATTTTACTGATGAAGAAATGGAGATGCAATCAGAGCACGTGACTTGACCAAAGCTATAGGTCAAATAAGTGGCAGATCCGGGAGCTGACACAAGCCTTATTGATTCAAGCCCGATGTACTTTCTACTACACCGACCTGCTATACGACCTTGCAAACGGTTACCAAGATTACCCAGGAAATTAAAAGGCAATAACAAACTCTGGGCAAGTAGGAAAAGAACACTGGTGTCACACATTCTGTTCTGCCCTGTCCTCACTTTCCAGGGGGAAGGAAGTGGAGTTGGGAGGCATGAAAAGGACTGCTGAGCTAGTCTCACATTAAGTTTTGATCTGACAACTTACTGTCAAAACCCAAGTGACATCAACCTGGCATGTTCTGCCTCTCTTTTCCTGCCTTTGAACTAACAAAAACTGTGTCTTAATCCCAGATTTCAGGCCCTTAATATTGAGAAACTCAGCCTTACAGACAATTAAAATCCAAACCAGGGGCCCCTGGGTGCCTCAGTCAGTTAAGCATCTGACTTTAGCTCAGGTCATGATCCTACGGTCCTGGGATGGAGCCCCGCATTGGGTCCTCTGCTCAGTGGGGAACCTGCTTCTGCCCCCCCTCCCCCTCTCCTCGCTCATGCTCTCTCTCTTTCTCATAAATAAATAAAATCTTAAAAAAAAAATCCAAACCAAAACCTAGGATTCCCTTCTCATACTGTACTGAAGTATCCATGCTCATAAACCTGTTAGGATAAAGCTTCCTTGCTTTCCCAGAGGCCCATTTCCACAGGCCCAGAGCATGATGGAAACAGTTTTCGACAGCACTGTGCACCTGCAGTCTAACTTATAAGCAGGCTACTGAAGCTGAGTTACCTCAATGTTCAAAATACAGTACGTACCAACTTCTGCACATAAAAGGGGAGAAAGCCCAAAGATTCCTTATAGATCCATTTGGAAGCAGATAAACAAACCCATTTGTTGCTGGGAGAAACACCTCAGGGGTCTCTGCTACGTGTTTAAAGTGGGAGAGTTTTAGAAATGTGACAAAGCACTCTCCATAGCAGAAGGAATGGTGATAAAAGGGAATATTTTCCAATTTCCTTTCATCACTCAGCTCTGCTCACACCTCCTCTGGGCAGCCTTTAACGATCTGTCTTTCTCCCCAATCTGCACCTTGTGAGCATCCCCTAATCAAAGCATTTGTGGCCATGAATAGCAATGCATGGAGACCAAAGATCCTGGCGGATTCTGACTGTATATAATTCATCTTAGATTTCCTTGCACATAACATAGTACTTGTCACTTGGCGGGCATGCAAAAATACTTCTTTCTTTTTTTTTTTCTTAAAGGTTTTATTTATTTATTTGACAGAGAGATAGAGAGAGAGCACAAGGAGGCAGAGTGGCAGGCAGAGGGAGAGGGAGAAGCAGGCTCTCCACTGAGCAGGGAGCCGGACCTGGGGCTCGATCCCAGGACCCCAGAATCACGACCTGAGCAGAAGGCAGTCGCTTAACTGACTGAGCCACCCAGGTGCCCCGCAAAAATACTTCTTAAACTGTTGAGCCAAACTCACCTGATTGTCAGGGGGGGAAAGAAAGAAAACACGTCGTAAAACCCAACACAACCCCAGTCTCATAAGAAGGCAGTCTTCTGATCTGTGCATATTACAGATTTGTAATGGATGGGGTTCCATCTAAAAGTTTCTTTTTACCGTAACATTTTTTTTGAACTTTAGTTATAACATCACTGAAATAATGATGTTTATGTTTAAAGTAAGAGGTTATCCTCAAGGATTTGTTAAAAATAGAATTCAGAAGATCATCAAAGCTCACTAAATTAAGAAGAAATGAAAGCGACGCTGTTTAGGATTAGCAAACTGTTTTAAGGATGGGTATCATTCAAATATTTTGCTAATTATCCTGCTTACCAGTGATCCTACTTCATTTCAAGTAGGATAATAAATTGCTGGCTAAGTTGTTTTGAAAGACTGTACTTTAATAAATGGTTTAGAATGATTTGCTATATTAGAAAATACCCATTTAAATACATAAGTAATTTAATTATATACCCTCCAATTTTGTTTAGCTTGTTAATTTTCCCCCAAAATTATTTTTTAACAAAGAAAATGCAAAGTGCAGTCTAGTACCTCTTTAAGTCAAGTGAGGTTCAAATTATTGAGGGATTTTTTTTTCCTCCTTCATTCAACAATACTACACAGTCTCCTGAGAGTTGGATTTTAACTTTATTTTATGTATTCACAGGCTTTATATTTGTGGTCAGCAATCGTAAAGAAATGTCTTGATCACTGATGTCGAAGACATAAGGAAACCAAGGTACGGAAGCGAACATGAAAATATTTTCTTATAAATGAGGTTGACTGAATCTCATCTACCAACTATATAGTTAACAAAAAGAGGCTTAAAATGAAATCACAGATGTGTCTCAGTTGATGTGGAAGAAACTTACAGGCCCCTGGCAGCCTCCCTTTAAACAACACCCCCTTTCAATTCATTCAAAGCATTTTAATTTTCATTATGTTCCGGGGGGAAAAAAAACCAGCCTGTACATTTGTGCTCACACAGTAATTTTTGTCCCAAGGCATGCAATACAAGGCACAGCTCCAAATATGCTTGAAATTCTAGACGCACCAATGTGGATCTTGCCTGGTGAGAGCATTTTTTTTTTTGAAGCCCCCATTCCCCAAGGCTTTTCCCAGCCCCCAAAGCCTGATAGGATTCAAAATGGGTCAGATAAGGAGGAAATGTACTTGACACAAGAATAGAGTTGCCAGATGAAATGCAGAGCCCCCAGTTACATTTGAATTTCAAATAAACAATGAATAATTTTTAGGATAAGTGTGTACCATGCAGTATATCCCATGCAGTATTTGGAACACACTTATGCCAAAAAAAAAAAAAAAAAAGGTAGTTCATCTGAAATTCAAATGTAACTGGGTGTCCTGTATTTTTATTTTGCTAAATCTACAACCTCAGACAAGAAGGAGCTGGAAAAATTACTGTCGATAACTTAGAGAGTTTGCCACAGATGGTATCCTTATAGTTAACTTCTTATGTTATGTAGTTAACTTTTTATGTTTGATCGTATAATTTTTAAAATCATTTTTTTCCAAATGTGGCATTAGCATATAATGTTAAAGGCACATTTGATTAGAAATAGGCAAGGTAAAACAGCACAATGTAATCATGTTACTTGAAACCAATGTTTGGCTTTACCTCAGACTCCTTTCCTTCCCAACTGTAGTTCTTAAATTTAAGGACATGTTCTCTTTAAAATTAAAATCTACAGAATGATAATTCCTTCCTATTTACATCATAATTGAGAACATTAATTTCTTTTTGATAATTACTCAGATAATATATTTATAGTCACTGTGGAATGCGGAACAACATTACACTAAACAAAAGAATAATGACATTTGGCACATAGATTGTGCTCTTAATAGGCACAGATAACAGGTTAATTTTTGTGGATTGTGGGTTGAAACGTTTGTCCTTTCCCTTCTTCAGGGATGGCTTGCATCTGGTTAATGTCACGGTCACATATAAGGGAAGGGGTATGGAAGCTGAAGAAAGTCGACAAAAATATGTCTTGAGAACTAAGTGATGGGGACAACATTAAGTGACCTTCACAGAGACCAGTAATGACAACAGTTTGTGTCCCTACCTCCATTGACACCATTAATCTCCCCGCAGTCCCCAGGAGGCCGGTGGGACCCGGCAGACAGCAACTCCAGTCGGCCGACCACCCGCTCCAGTCTCTCCATCAGTCCCTGCATCTCTGCCATTCTAGAAAAACACAGGCGGAAAGGGGAGTCCGTGTGAATGTCAGGGAGGATTAGCAAGCTGACCCCAGTAAACCTAACAGGAGCAAGAAAGAAAATAAAAATTGCTTGGAATGGCTTTAATTACCCAGAGAGTATTTCTACACAGCAGGAAAATACGTGAAATTCCAAAAAACATAAAACTTGGAACAAAAAAAACCCCCACAAAGTTTATTGATCTTATTTTCCATTCAATTCAATGGCATTTATGAGCCCCGTATGTAATACACAAGAAATTCACTCCCTACACCATTAACAAGTGTCTCCTCCGATGCTTCCTTGTGCTAAGATACAATCTATGTCTAGTATATACTTAAAAGCCTGTGAACATATATCTCACAGTTAATATTGCCAACTTTTATCCTACTCAATGGTAGAAACACATTTTAACTATTTCTAATGATTGTTTCTGTGCAAGTATAACTCTCCAGGGGATATTAAACCCACCGATAATTGTTTATTTACTCAATTACCTTTAAACCAAACAGCCCAGCACGGAACGATGAGTTTATAAAACTGCATCATTTAGCAGGCAAATGGGTTTCTACCTCCAAGAGTCTTCTACTTATCACTACCTTTAGTGCTTCTGTTGCTGGATTATTTTAGATTATGATTATTCTGAATGGTGGAGATTTTAATTTAAAACATCAAAAATGTTTATTTCCTTTTGCTGCTGGTTATTTTTGGACAAATTTAGGTCTGGAGGTGGGGGAGTGGTTTCTGGAGACAGGGAGCTTCAGTAACCCAGCAGTCTCGACTAGGATTAACTGGGTTTGACGCTGAGTAAGGGAATGGAGGATAAAGTGGGGTTGGGTATCTATCCTTCCTGCTTCCATACACTCCTTCAAGAGCTACTTTGAGTGTACACAGGTAAGTACCTTAGAACTGCTGGCCTTATAACGAAATGTTATGAAGGCAACCCCTGAGGAATGGAACCCAATCTAATTTGGCCGGGTTCATGAGATCCAACGTAGAGGTACCATAGCTCCCACCGTACCAACCTATGACTGCTTTTGGCAAAATCAGGCTTCTGCCCCAGAGAGAGTAAAACGCGCCTCATCTTAATCAGTGTCTGTCATTCTCACTCTTGCAAACTTTCCAAGCATCACCTTGAGCCAAAGAGGACTGGCATGCTCCCACATCAGAGACAGTGCTGCCCCAGAGGGTGGGTAAATATTATTGCTCTAAGACGTGTAATATTTCTTATTTCTGCAAAGAACCAGGTAATGCATTTTTTTTTTTTGCATTTTGTATTTCACCAGTTTTGAGCTTAAACATAATGACTTGCCACTGCCATTTTTAAAAGCAAGGTTATACTTATCAAAACACATGGATCGCTCTGTAATTCTGCATCCAAATGTCAGATGGTCATCAGATACAGATGGGGGAGTTCACTGTCTATTTTGGAAAGTCATCTCCTCTGAAACTACCAGCACCTACTCTTTCAAAATATGGGGCAGTATTCTCTGCACGGCTGAAACCAGCATCTAATCCCAAGGGGATTCAAAATTAGAAGTTTCTCATCTATTCTTTTCCTCTTAATGTCAGAGCTTTTGCTTCTACTGCAATTGAAAAAAAAGGAAGAAGAAATTTAATTGAATCCTTTACGTAATTTTGCAAGGGAACCGGGTATCCAGTAGGTGGGTGAAGGCCATTTGAGAGATGATAAAAGCCCCTCAAATCTTTTAATAGTTGTCCATCTGTTCACAGTTATCTATGTTCCCTGTTATTCAACTTGCCAAATGTTACTGCCATAGACCTAGCCCAAGCTAGGAAAAAAAAGTGTTTGCTTTGTTAGCAAGCTCCCGATGCCCCAACAGAGAGGCACCAACCACCTCCAGAGGCTCACAACGCTGTTTCAGAGGGCCTGTTACATTTCACACTTAGGACGACTGTCCCCAACCGTGGCTTAATCAGCCTCCTTGACAAGACTCAAACTCACACTATCTAATAGCGCTCCATATGTTGAGAGACAACAGGAGTTAGTCCACAAACTGCAGGGCTGGGCTGATTGGTATGGAATGCAGTTTAAAAGCGAATCAGATGTCACTTGGTGTAAAATCACCACGGACTGGAGTCTTGTCACATGTGGCCTCTTAAGAGATCAAAATACAGCTCAGGCAAGGAAGCTGGAAAGATGCCTCTGGGTTTAAAATTTTAGAACAGTTTCTAAGAGAAACAGAAGAACACATAAATGAAAGAATGCACCAGGATCTCAGAAATAGACATGATAGCGTTTCCAGGGAGAATGATGGGGCCCAAGATGGCTGTACCCTCTTCTCTCAAAACACATGCACAGGCTTCTCCTCACACGGGCCCTCAGCAGCTTTCCTGGTTCTCAAGAATGAAGAAAGATCAGAACAGCAGATTCTCCAAATTCCTCCCAGGCAGTCCCATTCGCCTTGGTTTTTCAAAGTGGATTTGAGCCAAGTTTTCATGAAGAGGTAGGAGCCAGTAATTAAGAATTAGGCTGAGGAAAGGGATGGGGCAGGGGGTGGAGACAGCAAGGTCCGGGTAAGGAAGGAGTCAGAGCCAGGCGGACGGGACAGATGCGCTTGGCCAGGAAGCCAACAGAAGAGGAGGACACAAGATGGCTGGACCTCAGATGTTCTAAAAATCAGATGAGGAGCAGAGAGAAGCCAGACACACAGCCAGATAATCAAGAGTCTAAGTCAAGGGTATCTGGGTGGCTCAATTAGTTGAGTGTCTGACTCTTGGTTTCGGCTCAGGTCCATGATCTCAGGGTTGTGAGATCAAACCCCAAGCCAGGCTCCGTGCTCAACAGGGAGTCTGCTTGGGATTCTCTCTCTCCCTCTGCCTTCTGCCCCCTCTAAAATAAATAAATTAAAAAAAAAGAGAGAGCCTAGGAGAGATGATGAGGCTCAAACTTGGCCCCCACTGTCTAGTCCTCCTAATCAGGCAGAAGCCAACCCCAAGATGAGGTCCCCTATAATCGCTGTCTTACAGCAGATAAACATAATCATCTGGCCGGGCATTTGGGTGGGTGGAAAGGAAAAGGGGGAGGAACACAGAAGTCCATGACTTTCTCTTTTTAATGATCTGTTTTAGGAAATTACACTTGAGGTGAATCTTAATTCCTTGCTTTGTATTAATTTGGGAGTATTCTTTTTTGAGCTCCTTTATAAAAGGACGTGTACCTCATCTTGTCATTTTTTTTCTCATTTGAATTCTCCCCTCCCTTTTCCCCTTTTAAAGTTTAACTTTTAAACACGCACAGAATTCAAAGAGTCAACAGTTCTACAAGGCTTATTACAAAATCACAACAGTCCCCCGGCTGCCCCCTTCCATTTTTGTAGTGAGAATCAACTGATTTCCATTAGTTGAGCTAGTGCTTTCGGTAATTACCTCATCTGTATGCAACATGCTTCTATCTTTACGGCTTGTTTTTCTTCCATTCTAGGCATTATCCACTGAGTTCCCACCGAAACCAAGAGGGTTCACATTCTGTTTGCCTAATCCTCACCACCATATGCGCCTATACTTTCTTTTGCCCTGGTACTGTTGTCACAATGTCTGTGTGACCAATCATCAGTGTCAACACAATTATGACTATTCACAGCTGAGTCATGATGTCTCTTAAGATCAGTCTCCCTTTTTTTGTTTGTTTGTTTGCACAACCTGTTTTCCCGAAGCCATGTGGTTCAGCTTCTCAGTTTTCTACGTACTTAAAAATTATTCACCTCTGAACACTTCTTCCAGTTGTGGAAGTCTCCTTTTGAGCGGGCTAAACACATCTGGAATGCCACTAGGTCTTTCTTCTCAGAGGTTCTCTCTTCTGGAGAGTCACCGAGAGCACGAGAGCTCTGTAGGCCTACAGCACCTCTGTGACCAGAGATCTGTCTACACCTTCACCCCTGGGCCTTCTTCCCCTCCCTCTAATGTAGTATCACCTGCTTTGTGGATTCTGTAGCCTCCTCTTTCTTGGTGTACTTCCTTAACTGTCTTCTTAATTTCAGAGCACTGTCTTCTGAAAAGGTACATGAAAGGACACTTTTTTTTGGAGAATGTGCAAGTCAGAAGATATCTTTATTTTGCCCTCACCCTTGTTTGGTGGTTTGGCCGAGTGTAGAAGTCCAGGCTGGAAGGCTTCCTCAGAATTTTCAAGGCACTGCTCCATCTTGTTCTAGCTTCCTAGGTTACTGTGGGCAGGTCCAAAGCCATTCTGATTCTCTGATTCTTCATCCTTTTGACATAACCTTTGTTTTCCCTTCTGGAGGAAGTTTCTGGGGTCTCTGTCCTCAGGGGTTTGTGATATACCTCATGGTTGATCAGATGTTTTTGTTTTTTAAGTAGGCTCCATGCCCAACACCGAGCCCAATGTGGGGCCTGAACTCACGACCCTGAGATCAAGACCTGAGCTGAAATCGAGTCGGATGCTTAACTGACTGAACCACCCAGATGCCCCTCAAATGTTTTCTTTAAAAATGATTTTCTTTTTTTTTTAAGATTTTATTTATTCATTTGGGAGAGAGAGAGAGTGCATAAGCAGGGAGAGAGGCAGACGGAGAAGGAGAAAAAGACTCCCCACTGAGCAGGGAGCCCGACATGGGGCTTGATCCCAGAACCCTGGGATCATGACCTGAGCTGAAGGCAGACACTTAACCATCTGAGCCACCCAGGCGCCCCTAAAAATGATTTTCAAGAGGTGTGGGAAAGATAAGAAAATGGGCATTGCATATTGTATCTCTGGGTGAGTTTAGAAACTACATTTTGGGTTTGTTTGTTTGTTTTTCAAATAAAATAGTTAGGATTCTAAATATTTAAACAATTTAAACTCTTTTCATACCAATAGCACACATTTACAAATATTTCACACACTATAGTAAGAACATAGCCAGTGAGTATTCTCTCATATATTATCTTGAAAGGCTAAGGTGTTCTGGAGGCATTTTCCTAGGAGAAAAGATAGCTGTCATTATTTAAAAATTATTTTTGCCTCATTGGTCATTTTATAAAACCCATCCTTAAAGTACAGATATTCAGTTCCTAACACTAGTTTTACGTCCAATGTTCTGCCAATAGGCAATGACCACTTTAAAACAATAAGAGAGACAGCATTCCTATTCTTTCTCACAGTAGTTTCCAGAAAGGGAGAGTTCTCCACACTTGCAAACATTTATAAGGTCTCAATCATTTTGTCCCCCCCTTTTTTATGGTTTTCCTTTTTATTTAATCAAAGACTGGTGGGTAAACATAAATACAGCACAATTACTTCAGATCATTCTTCATATTGTATACACACAGACCAATGAACGTAATCTGAAAGAAACCTGCAGTCGGCAATGAAATGCTTACAGCTTTTCCTTCCCTCGCTCAAAAAAAATTTAAAAACACACAAACTTAGAATCTCATCAGCACACACTCTCTTGTGACAAATGATTCAGACATAAATAGTGGGTGCAAAGAAACTATATGCTAACATATGTAGAACCTTTGTTAATGAAAACCCAGAAGCAGCCGTAAGGATGAAGATACATTCAGTGACTGGTAAGTAGTTGTGCCCTGAGGGGCGCCATCGACAGAGATTGTGCTGCAGAGAAAAGCTATGTACACACACAATGAGAAAATAAACTGCAAGATCAATGCATGCATGTTTAATACTGGAAAAATCACAGCCCTCCAAAATTTCTCCACATTTGTTATAAAAGCCCTCTGCACTCAACTAAAATTAAAATGATCTTAAAAGGATAATACTTGTAAAGTTTACTTAAGTCTTTTCAGCCACAGAAACTGCAATGGAAATAAATGTTCAGAGTCATTTTCAAAACAAAAACGAAAATCTATTCTTCTGATGACATGCATGATTAAAAGGTCTATGCAAGATACATTGCTCTACATTCCCAATGACTAGGAAAAAAAACCTCAAGTCAATTTTTAGTTTGCAGATGGTCAAAGGATTTTGTATTCCAGCAGGAGCTCAAATCTTCTGGATCTTTTCACCAACAACTACTGGATTTTCTTTTCTGATTTTCTCAGCAGCATCAGCTTTGTAATTGTAAGAGCAATTGTGTACATCTGAGTAATGGTGTACACCACAGTAAACATTTCCACACCGGCATTCAAACCCAGTAAGTCCCACTTTCTTCCTGCACATGAAACAGCGATTCTTTTTTTATTTTGGTTTTTCAAGAGACTTGCTTTGCTCTTCAGATGGCTGTTGTGCCGTATCTGATACTGAAGCTTGCAGGTCTTCTGTTTCTGGTACTGCTTTGTCCACAGATGTACTGTCCACTTGGGAAGATGCTACAGATTCTGATAAAAGTGACTGATTTGATACAGGGCTTGGCTGCACAGATGCAGATGTGGAGTCTAGCGGTGACTGGGCATCCAGGACACTGTCGTCTGTGCACTGGATGGGTAAAGATTCAGACAGACTACTGACAGAAGCAGGTGGACTTATTCTACCATTACTACTATTCTGTCTTTGAAGATGTTCTTTATAGCACACTGAACACATGCCATTTGTACGAGGGTTTCCATACAATCCGCAGCCAGTGGAACAAAGCATAGGCACTTGGTTGTGATTAGTTTCTTGAGCCATGTTCCTCTGTTGCACACCTGGCGGCGGCCCTCCCTGCCCGCCGCGCTGCCTGCCGCCCCCGGTTGCCGCCAGAGAGTGGGGACAGGTGAGGCCGCCGAACCCCTGCTCGCTCCGGCCCAGCCGCCACCGCCGCCAGCCCTCCGTCCGCTGTTCCCCCCCCTTTTTTTTAAGTAGGCTCCATGCCCATCGTGGAGCCCAATGCGGAGCCCAAACCCACGACCCATAGATCAAGACTTGAGTTGAGACCAAGAGTCGGACGCTTAACCAGCAGAGCCACCCAGGTGCCCCCATTTCGTCCATTTTTAACCAGGGCTGTTTAGAGGGGCCCTGGTTTTGGAATCACTAGCTGAAGGTCTTGGGGAAGAACTTAGTTTTGTTATGCTTTAGTTACTACCTGTACGTAGGGCTGCTAGAAGCATGTGTAGAAAGCCATACAAAGTCTGTCACATGGTCGGTGACAAACGAGTTAGCTACTGTTATGAAGTCATCCATTTGTTTTGCTCTCAGTGGATACAGATCTACAAACTATATCAAGTCTTTGTGTATTTTAAATGCTGAGCGATCATCTAAAAACCTGGCCAACAGAGTTTTCAAGTCACTATGTTGTACACCTGAAAGTAGCTATACTTCAATAAAAATAAAAATAAATAAATAAGTAAAATAAAATAACATAATATACCATAAAAAAAAAAAACCAACCTGGCCAATGGAAATGACTAGCTAAAAATTTCAGGTCATACCTTATAATTATACCCTTAAAATTTTTTTTTCAGTGTTTCATTTTCCTCTGTTCACACACTTATTCCACCAAATTTTTTTTTTCTTTTAGAGGAGAGAAAAAGAGAGAGAGGGGAGGGGGAGGGGGAGAGGGAGAGGGAGAGAGAATCTTAAGCAGGCTCCATACCTAGCTTGGAGCCCGATGTGGGGCTCGATCTCAACACCCTGAGATCATGATCTGAGCTGAAATCAAGAGTCGGACACTTAACTGACTGAACCACCCAGGTGCCCCTCCACCAAGATGTCTAAAAGAGGTTTTCTCAAGTCCATGTGTAAGGGTTATTATAAAATGAAAATTTCAGGAGCACCTGGGTGGCTCAGTCGGTTAAGCATCTGCCTTCGGCTCACGTCATGATCCCAGTTGTCCTGGGATCAAGCCACGGGTCAGGGGTGGGGGGTGTGTGGGGGGGATCCCTGTTCAGCAGGGAGTCTGCTTCTCCTTCTCCTTCTGCCTCTCCCCTGCTCCTGCTCTCTCTCAAATAAATCAATAAAAATCTTAAAATAAATAAATAAAATGAAAATTTGGTATAATTAGTAGTAATTAGTAGTTTTGTAGTCACATACATTCCCCCAAACATTTAAAAATTCAGAAATAATCCACAGATAGTGTATTAGTTTTAGGTGCACTGCATAATGATTTGATATATGTATAAAGTAGTCCTCCTTTATCCACCAGGGATACATTCCAAGACCTTCAGTGGAAGCCTGGAACCAGAGATAGTGCCAAACCTCATATATACCAGGTGTTTTCTTTTATGTACATACCTATGGTAGAGTTTAATTTATATATGAAGCACAGTAAGAGATTAACAATAACTAATCATAAAATAGAGCAATTGTAACAATATACTGTACTGTAATAAAAGTTATGTAACTACGACCTTTCTCTCTCTCAAAACATCTTCCCATACTGTACCCACCCTCCCTCTTGTGATGACATGAGGCGATAAAAGGCCGATGTGACAAGATGAAGTGAGGTGAGTGATATAGGCGTCATGACAACAACGTGAGGTTACTATGGACCTTGTGGCATCAGAAAGAGGATTCCCCTGCTTTCCCACCACGACTGAGCGCAGGTAACCAAAACCACGGATGAAGGGTGACCACTGTGCTTTGCAAAATGATCCCCACAATAGGCTCAAT